AGCTATTTATATTTTTTCAGCTATTTCACTTTTTTTAGCCACTTTTTTGCCATTGAAAATGAATGGAGCTGTTTTCAACAACCTTAAAATCCTTCAAATAGTTTCTAAATCTTTAAAACCTTACACAATTTATTCTGGTTATGCTCTTTTTTTTTATTCCTTTGTGCAAATTTTAGCTACTTTTTTGCTAATTTTAGCTTTTTTTCTGCTACTTTGTGCTATTTAAGCTTCTTGGTTTCTGCTCTATTCAGCTAATTGCTGCAAATTTAGCTAATGTTCAGCTGTTATTAGCTACTTGATTTTGGCCAATATTTGATATAATGAGCTAAAAATTAATATATTGGTAGCTGACACTTAGCCCTATCACAAATAGCAGCCAAAAAAAATCCAAGATGGCTGCCAAAGCTAGATTTAAAGGCGTTTTACTCGGCCAAAGTTTGAGATATTGACATGAAAACTGCTGTACTGGTAGCTGAGAGCTAGCTCTACCACATACTGAAGCCTCAAAAAAATTCCACAATTGTAGCCAAAGCTATTTCGGCTACTTTTTCCCATTGGAAAAGAATGGCGCTTATTTTCAACATCCTTACATTTCTTCATAATGTTTCTAAATCTTTACAGAGCCTTACACAATATCTTCTGGCTTTGCTCTTATTAAATCCCTTGTGACAAATTTAGCTACTGTTTTGCAAATTTTAGCTTTTTCTAGTATTTTAGCTRTATGTCTTCCCTTTTCTGTTATTCCTCTGCTAATTTTTACTTTTTTGTACTTCTTTCTGCTATTTTGAGTTATTTATGCTTCTTACAGTTGCTTTCTGCTAAGTTCAGTTATTTTAGCTTTTTTTATGCTAACTCATCTGTATTTTTGCTCTTTTTTCATTGCTTCTTCCAGCTTTTCAAATTTAACTTTTGCTGTTAAACATGTTCAGCTTCTTCAGCAGCTTTCAGCTGAAGTTTTCACCGACAGGCATTCACACTAGCATTTTTGCAGGAAATGCAGTTTCTCTAGTGTAACGTTGTTATTTTGTTGTTTCAGGACCTGGTGGAGCTTTTTAACTTCCATAACTACGACAACCTGAGGCACTTTGCCAAGAAACACGACCCTCGCAAAGAGGGCGGAGACCAGAGGGTGAGGATACACAACACCTGATAACACACACACAAACACAAACACACACCTTCTGTCCAGCTGAGACAGGAGGCTTCTGACGTCACATTTAGATTCCTACATGATGTTCTGAGCAGAGCGGGGAGCCAAACTAACTGCTAATTCGTGTCGATTAAAGCAGCAGCACAGCTTCGGACCCATGGATTACGAGAGCCTCCAACAGGAGCTGGCTCTGAAAGCCCCCCTGTGGAAAAAAGTGTCCCCCACTGAGTCCGACCAGGACAGCTCCACCACCGTAGTCTATAGGATGGACAAAGTCAGCAAGTGAACCCCCTCCTCTCACCTTCACCTCTGATATTTATAAAAACCATGTAGAGGGTTATTTATTACTTGTGAAGCAGCTACTGTGTGGATGGGGCGGGGAAATTGTTTTTATTTTTGTTTTGCCTCAGTGTGTCTAAAATTTGTAGGTCTGAAGACTGACGAGTTSCAAAAGAATGTTTGCTATAAAGAAAAAGCCTCGAACTCTTCATAAATATTCCTTTATTTTAAATTAATCGATGAAAAAAGTTCTGAAACATTTACAATTTTATGAATTTAAGATTTAAAGAGTTGAAATATGAGTTAAAAATTGGATTAAAATCCTAACAAAAACCTATTTTTTTAACTTTAGAAAAAGCATCAATGTAGACTATTATATTTAAAAGGTACAGGCAGGTTAATTTATCTTCCTGTTCTCGTGAGGGTCATTAAGGTCTTTGTAAGCCAGACTCAGATGTTTTTTGGTCCCAAACAGGTAAACTTCACTACCTGTCCTCGTGAAGGTCATTAGCGTCATTGTTAGCTTAACTTAGAGATATTTGGTCACAGGCAGGTTAATTTAACTTCCTGTTCTCGTGAGGGTCATTAAGGTCTTTGTTAGCCCAGCTCACAGAGATGTTTTGGTTACAGGCAAGTCATTCTGGCTTCCTTTCCTTCAGGGGATCATTAGGATCTTTGCTTGCTTGATTCAGAGATGTTTTGGTCACAGGCAGATCARTCTCACTTCCTGTCCTCCTGAGGGTCATTAGAGTCAGTTAGCAGCAGGTTGTCCTCCAGCGCTCAGCATCTGTTCTGAGGGCAGCTGTTGGGTTAGCCTCATCTGGCCTTGATGTGTTGTTAGTTGCTTGTTTTGCTCTGGTCCAACCTCCTCAGCTGTGAGCAGGTTTGTCTTGGCTGCGATCCAAAACCATCTCTGCATGTTGACTCRGAGCATGAGGAGATGTTTGTGTTCAAACATGATCGCCCTCTTCTGCACGATGACTGACTTTTCCTTTTCTGCGTATCATTAAACCATTGATGACATCACTCGCCTGCAGTTTTATCATCTCTAAACTCTTTATAAWGCCTATAAACGAGACTACTTGACCGTTTTACTAGATGAGCTGCGCTGTAGAGACCACTAGTTTTCTGATTTAGAACTGTGATGCGTTTGAAGCGCCTGGAAAGAATATTTGTCGTAAAACTTTAATTCAATAATCTAAATTATCGCCCGCTCCTATCATGATTCATGTTTTTGCACAGTATRGTCTCTCTTGTGATGAGCATAAATTCACTATTTATTTATTTATTGTACTAAAATGAAAGATTAAGGCAAATAATGAGAATAAAAAGAAAACAAAAATCCCAAACATACCAAAGAGCAAATTAAGAAATTTCAAAATACATTTTAATGTTGACTACTTAAATAATGACTTAACTCCCAGACTGTGTTTTGCMTGAAGGTGATGTTTTTAACCCTTCAGTCCTTAGTTTTGTTAAAGAAAAGACGTCTGCATGGTTTTTGTGATGCATCGGRCCTCTGGAGTGACAATTTCAGATGTTTTTTGAGCGGAGTTTGATTTTTGTTGATCCAGAATTGTTTGTATAAATACTGGGGGAAAAAAGAGTGCTTGGAACATTTTCAGTATTATCAGGGCAGTTTTCTAAGCTTTTAGTTCTTCTGAATGTACATAGCTGCAGGTGTAAATAAATTTCAGGCGAATTTAAACTTCTGACGTTCCAGATTCGTACGATCCCGTTGGGGAAACGGAGATCGTTGCACATGAATGTCACAATAGCAGATGCCTTAATGATCGCTCCACTGTGACGCCACCGGGAGKGGAGTTATTTTATTTCATTTTAAGTACCTTGGTTAAGGTTGAAGCTTTAATTTTTAGCTGAAACCAGAATCTGATTGGAGTAAAATCTCTGCTGTGACTCCTATCATGTTTAGGAAATACTTTATTTTATGTTACATTCTTCAAGTTTCTTTTCATCACTGTTGTTTGGTAGAAAGTTTTCAAAAGCCTCGGTCATCATTAATGCTCAGATTGTTGCGATAAAACCATGATTTATTTTTTAAAAAATAACCGTTAATCTCAAGTTACAATCTGTAGGGTTTTTATTCTGCCACGGTATGTTTATTCTACAAGTTCATTTGTTTTTGTAACTGTTAAGAATATATTTATTCAGAGTAATTTACATTCTCTCTTCGCTCTAGATTTAGYCCATATTTAAAGAGATTAAATTTGTACAAATGTGATTTATATTTATTTATTGACTAAAACAGCTAAAAGACAAGTGAAGAAAATTAAAGTTTGTAGATTTAAATTTTATCAAAAAAAATTTAATCTTAAACATGAAAGTCGTAAATATGAAGTACTGATTGAAAGTTTTAATCATTAAAATCTGAACAGTTGAGAAAAAAGTGCCAAATAAATATAGTATTTTCTGTTGACAGCTTGTAGATTTTTTTTTATTTTCTAGTGATAAAATTTGTTTTTGTTGCTTTTAGTCATTATACAGTAGTTAGAAGATGGACAGGATCCCATAAATCAGGTGAAAAAAWATTCTGACAAAATTAAGTTATTTGCTTAGCTTTTGGAGTTGAAGTTTATTTCACTGGTTGTTTAATGTTTTAGGGTTTTTGGTTTTTGATGCCGGCAGCCTCTGGTTTCTGAATTTTGAGGAAAGTTTTATAGTTGCAAGTTTGCACTTAAATGTTGTGAGTTTTGAATCATGAAAGCTGCACTGGACAGTATTAACTAGGCATACAGGTGTTCATGACATCACAGTATCATCAGCATAGTGTTTTGTTCAATTAAAAACAAATGGAAAGGGACCGAGTACACATCCCTGAGKAAACACCCTCTGATTGCACTGAAGCTTCTGCCTGTGCCTCAATCCAATCAATCAGCGTTGATTATCACAAATGATTGTTTAATAAATAAACCTCAGATCTGGGTTTTCTTTGATCAGATTTAATCAAATTAATGACAACGGGGCTTTTGAATCTTTTACTAGTATTTCCAGTTTTTATGGTTTATGTCATTTTTCTCATTTTCCATCTTGCATGCAGTTTTTATATAGATTATTAAAATGTGTTTTAATTTCATCTTCA